CATTGTTTCATTCATGTTTATCGCAACCAAAGAAATTACGTCGTACAAACTTGCCTTTTTAAGGTGCACTCGCTTGACTTGGCTGGCAGCGCAAAGCTTGTGAGATATTCACAGGAGTTTCAAAACATGCACCACCCATCGTTATGCGAGCTTACTGACTTCGTTTTTTTTTTTTGCTTTTCATTGCTCTTTTCAAGCTACGCAAAGTGCAAAACACCTCCTACTGCTGCTCAAGCGACAAAAAGGCTGAGCGAACAGAGGAAACATAAGTATTACCTAATATTTGTGTTCCTGATATATTCCGCGAATGCGGCGCGCCCATCAGCTGCTTGATTGTACACGGCGGCATGCTGGCATGCTCGCTTGAGTCACAGGGCCATTGCCACACCATCGTTCTCGCATAAAGCCATGTTGCACTGTTGTCAAACCACACATTTCACGTCCAGCGACGAGACCATGCACAGTAACGCTGCCAAACAAAAAACACGCGCACAATACCGCGACACATAGCCGTGCCGTTCAAATGCGTCCCTCGGAAGGCGAAGGTTATCCCGTGACGACTTTGCTTCGCTATCACTCACGCACGCCACTGGGGTAGTCTCCTAATCTCTGCTGGCATTTTGGAACTGCAATACCTCTTTTTTCTGGCGTTTTTTTTTTTTATTTCTCCGTGTGTGGGCGCGTGCGTCGGTTCCCATCTTGTGCGGTGCCGTCGCTGTTTAAAGGTAGAAGCAGGGATTGGTCGAAGGGCATATTTTCTCGCATCGTAGCGGCCGCTTTAGAAGAGTAGCATTATTCTCTACATTTGTTTCTTCTATTTGTTTCTCCGGGTATTCTCAAGTCCTGGTTTTATTCCGTGCGTTGATGCACGCCGCGCCTGCCCGATACGTTATCCAAAACGGTATAGTGAGTGTGCGTGTGGTGCCGACCAGCCGCGTCGAAGGTCAGCAGGCCCTTCGTTTAGCATTTATATTGATTTGATGGTGAAATAACATACGCGAGGTCATACTGTGGTCGCAGTGCTGTTGAGCCCGAGCCCAACTGTCTGAAGTGTGCCCTCTGCAGCATTCCCTACAACGGATATCATTCGAGGATACGAAGAAATGAATAATTGGTTAGCGCGTTGTGAATTTGTTGGGCATTCTGATAAATTTGTGCTTTCGTGTGACAGCGAACTTCTTCTCCCTAAACAGCGGAATGCATGCCCGCCAGCACTGAAGGTAAATCACAGTGAACTCCGGAAAGAAATGAAAACACGCAAAGGTAGGGGAAATGGGATTTTTTGATGGTCTCGTTCATGATAAATGACGTCAGATAGTAAATTTTTGATGGTCTCGTTCATTATAAATGACGTCAGATAGTAAATTTATTTCATTTCTCCCCTCATTCATCCGTGTTATTTCCTAAGGAAGTAAAATAGAAGTAGCAGAACCATATTACTTTTTTCTGTTACTTCCTATGGATGTATAAATCTGAATAAAAGCAATATCACGCCCTTAAAACGCCCAATTTTGGTAGTTTGTGTTTGCAGTGTAATAGTGTTAGCATTATTGTTACAAGCGAGTTTTTATGCTCGTGCTCTTCTCTCTCTCTCCCTCTCTACACCTTTCAAACTCCCTCATACCTGTAACCCCTGTATTCAGGGATGTGAACCAGTCACTCCAGACTGGTTCACATCCCTGCCATTCCTTTGCCACCTGTTCCCCTGTTCCTGTTCTACTATTCTTGAAGGTAACATCACTGTTCGACCACCTGTGAAATCTGCACTGTGTGTGGTGTGTGTGTGTTATGAGAAATTTATATCTCCCCCTCCTCTCTCTGTCTTTTACTCCCTTATTCCCCTCTCCTCACGTGTAGGCTAGCAAACTGTACTTAGTCTAGTTAACCTCCCTACCTTTCTAATATTCTTTCTCTCTCTCAAGACAAGAAAAATAAATGGTCACTGCTTAGGGATTTTCCCGCTGACTAATTATTGTGAGACAATTTGAAAAATATTCAGTATCTCAAATATACAATTTATTATTCGAGCAGCGAATCGAATATAACAGCAAATTTGGTAATAAACCACTCGATTCGTCAATAAAAATTTCAAATTTCGCTCATTTCAACATCGGACGGAAGTTAATCGGAAACGGAAAATTGTTTTGATAATAAATCATCCAACAAAAAACGTCACTGGTGCCAAGGTTTTGGCTAGTGAACTTCTGTGCCTCAAGCAGCTCTGACGAGCACGATTTCTTTTTTCGACCATTTTCTCCTTGCACATTCTCCGAGGTTGCGCAACGCTCGGTATGCCATACTCTTCAATGCACGATGACAATCTGGAGTGGTATCTTGAACGCTACAAAATCTACCCATGATTGGTTTCCGACAAGACCGTTGTTCTATCGATAACGTAGTAGACCTCTTTTTACATGTCCTACACGAGAAGACCCGTAAGCGACTATCCGCATCACTGTTGCTTGATATCAAAGGCGCATACGATAAAGTTTGAATGAGGCCATCTTTTATGCTTTTGCAGTGGTTGGGCTAGGTGGCCGAACTTTTCCGTGTATTACAAGTTATCTGGCTACAAGATCATTCTTTCTGTCAGCAGGCGATGGCCCAACTACACGACGATAAAGAATCATATATACACAGTCACACATCCTCAGATACGTACGTGGCTTCAGAGAGCAGCAACATTGACAGCGAGTTATTTGTGCAAACAAGGTTTGCGCACTTCACCACAAAAAGGTGCACTAGTGGCCTACCCTCGAAAGGCAGTGACGCCTTATGTCGTCTCAATTAGTGGACAGCCTATGCGTTATGCCAGAACTCCCAGTATTCTTGGCGTAATCAATGATAGGGACCTCTGCTGAAGCAGGCACGTGGCCTACATGAAGCAGCGCTTGACGGCAATTTCTCAGCCATTCAAGCTCTTGGCAGGGAAGACGTCGGGGATGTCAGTAAACGCGCTACCGGATTTCTACAGAGCACTCTTCCTCGGTTTTCTTGGATATAACCTGCCTGTGCTGAGCAATACTTGCAACAAATATTAAGGTTTTGGAGGCAGTCCAAGCGCAAGCACTCAGAGTGTGCTTTAGTTTACCCCATATGTACGTCAACAGAGGCAATCATTGCGATCTATTTGAAATCTCGGTGTCGAGCAGCTATGCGCAGTGCAACATGCCCGCGGCACAGCAAAAAAGACTTGGTTCTTTTTGTCGACATAGGCGCGGCCAGCTACATGTTAGAGCGCATATACAAGGTCTTTTATACAGCTTTAGTTCATCTTTTAAGCTATGAATAATTTTAGTGGATAGCATTACTCCAACCCAGAAAAGTCTATTTTATGCATTAGGCGGTCAATGAAATAAAATTGTTCAATAAATAATAAATGATTCCATCTTCAGTAGACGATTTTTTTAATCTGCGTATGTAGTGATACACTTTCAGTCAAGCAAATACCGTGGGCGTTTGCCTTCATCAATTCATGCAAAACATCTGAAACACCTCTTGAATGCAATAAAATAAAGGAATGAAAGTTTAAATTGATGGGTGCTCTCTCACGTAGGGCTTTATCTCTCTAGCATTTCTTGCACCATATGAAGAAATGCCATAGCCTAAGTACTCTCTAGCTTTATGTCTCCATGGTGACGTGTTTATAAAGTAACAGGCTGAAGTACAGTATTGTAGATAAAGATAGTCCCATGCTCATCCTTCTTTCGTGTTCCTCCAGACTTTGTCATTTATTGAGGCTGATCTAGGAAATATTAATTAAACTTGCGCAGTGGCGATGCCTAAACATTATGAACTATAAGTGTTTTTGGTCACTTCCTTTCCTACTGTCATGCCTCCTTTTTTCATTGAGCTTTCGAAATTGGTTGGCGCCTATATTTGGTGCCACCCGATTTCTGTTACTTTTTGTTACCGATTTCAGTACATTTTTATTGTTGCAATATTTTTTCCTCGTATTCTTATCAAGACCAACTGCTGTCGATCGAAGGAGCCCAGGAACGAGCATCTGCATACTCCTAGTACTAGTGCCACAAAATGAGTGTTCATGCAACAAGAACGCACAACACGGTGCGTCTTCAAACCCGAACTTTTTTTTACCGCAATAATTCAGTACTTTCATATGAGGTCGGCCCCTGGAAAGACGTTCCAAGCTTTACAGTCAAAGTGGTGATTTCGTAGAGTTACGCTTTTTGGGGGAAAAAAGAAGAAAAGAAAACACCATATATGATATAAACAAATCCGGAGTACTGTTGACAATATAGGTTTACTCTACACACTATGTAATTGTCCGCGTCGTCCGCATAGCATTTCTTTCGCTTATCGTTATGGTCATTATTTTCCAGGTAAATGATAAATAAATAGCTCCGTGCCCATCTAGCTGGTTATTGGCCCATTCACGCTATATAAAAGGAGAAATACAGCTCATTTCTGCCGTGTACAAGAACGCTCCAACTTGATAAAACTCTACTAAGTGTCATTGACTCCAGTCTTGATAAAGTCGCTAGCAGCGGAACCTGCCGGACAATCATCCCCTGAGGAAGAGACTGAATGTGTCCCGAAGCGTAGGCACAGTTATTAGTTTTAATATTAAAAATATGGGTTAAAAGTGGTTGGAGAGTTTCTTTTATAACGCATGGCCTTCAATCACAACGGCCCACAGGCGGCCACCTTGACCGGCCGGCCAGCATGTTTGTAAACAAAGTGCACGCACTTCTTTTATTCGGCCCGCATTACGGACACGTCCGCTTCGTTGCGGGCGAACGGCCTCCGCGTGTAGGTTTGGCTCTGCGCTATCCTGTTGGGACGTCTACATACGAGGACGTCGGGCGCGAGGAAGGAGGGTTCCTCCAGTGAACTTGGAGGAAGTTGCTGTGTGTGTGGCGCGTCTCTGCATTTCGGAGAGCGGACGAAGAGAGTTGTTCTCTCCCCGCTCAACACTCATCCTCTCCCAGGGAGCTGGGGGGACGCCCACCGAGCCCGTCGCTACTATCCTCCATCCAACGTTACCGACGACGACGAGCGGCGAGTACGGAGCTAAGCGGAGGAGACGCCGATCTTGTTGTGGCTCCGTAGTGCACGTGTTTTGCTCTTTTTTCGCTTAACTGGATCGGCGGCGCATTGTTTTGCCGTAGTGTGCCCCCACGTGTTTTGAGAGGTAGCGGCCACCGCCGCCGCACCCAGCGATCGACGACCGCTAACTGTTTCGTGATCGCGTTCGCGCGGTTACCCGCCAGTGCTCCCGAGTTTTTCTGTCACTGCCGCGCTTTCTCTGGACTGGCCTCTGGATCATATTGGCATCGTTGGATCGTCTGGCAGCCAACAGTATTCTGTGAATGCTCGAGCTGATGACGCGCCGTGTGTGCTAAAAGGGTGAACGCAGTGCCGTATTTGTGGCATCGAAGTCTGTACAGTGCATGTGAGTGAACCCCCTCCCCCCAAGCTTCAAGTGTCGGTACATGTGACTGGCTTAGACACTTTGTCGTGGTAGTCGTGAGACTACCCGCCACCCATCTGCGCAGACCACAACGACAGAGTTGCAGCCTTTTCCTCCATCGCCGCTGCAGCGGTGATCTCCGCAAACGGTGATGGCCAGCGGTGCTCTGGCCGCTGGGCCCATGCTCGCTGACTCCGGACACATGGCGCAGACCATGACGCCCCCACCCCAACAGCAGCAGCAGTCGCTGAATCAGTACTCGCACGCCGCATCACTCGGACTTATCACTCAACAGCAACAGCAGATGCATCACCAACAGCAACAGCACATTCAACAGCAGCAGCAGCAAGCTGCCCAGATGGCCGAGGCCCAACAGCAACAGCAATTAGCCGCGGGCTACCATCTCGGCGCGTACGGTGGATACAACGGATACAGGTGAGCCCGCGATGGGCGGCCGATGACCGCGCGGCCTCGAAAAAGAAAAGTGTGAAACGTGCGGCTCTGCATCGGTGAAACGTGCGCGCTGCTTGCCTCTTTTCAGTCGTGAATTTTTTTTCTTACTTTAATTTCTGTTCCTATTTTTTTCCTGGTCTTGCATCTTTTTTTACGTGACTGGCGTTTTGCATTCGTATTCTCGTTTTGATGAAATGCGCACAGCGGGGTGATATCCTAGATCTCTATAAAGAAAATGGTTTCGCTTTCAGCCGCGTAAAAGTCTGCGAAATCCGGCTACGGATGGCGTTAACGCTGTTCTCACTTACAGGGTTGCTCACCGCCATCCTCAAGCTTTGTTTTCTCTTCGGTCAAAGCATGTTCGTACTACGCTGTCCTACGTTGTTCATTATGAAGTGCTTAATCCGGCGGGTAATATCTTCGCTGTAGAAAAAAAAAAGGCGTCAGTATCTGGCAGAGTGAAAACATTACAGATTCTTTTGTCTACGTTTATGTGTGGTCGGAAAGCGTGTTGGAGACGAAGACGCGGAGTTGCTGGTACTTATTAAAGTTCATAATACAAAAAATTTAAGAAAGCATTGAGTCATCTTGTGAATAACCATGGTAAGAAGGAAGACACGAACAGGCTATAAACACGGCGTGCAATAAAATATTTTTCTCGCCATGACCACATAAGAAGGAAAAGTGTGTATGTCCGCATACCATTCACGGCTGCGAATTGCTGACATGAATCATTTCAAAGCATTCATTTATTTTTCTACTGCTGGCTCTACAATATGAATCAAGCAGTGGTTTCAATAGGTTCCCTTAGCTGTATTAGATGCGATGCGCTCGGACTGATGCACTCATCGTCTACACGAAATATGCAAGTCGTGTTCCAAATTGAATACAACATCAGGCTGTGCACTCTTATTCAAGAATGATTCTATGATTATTTCTTTCAGAGGAGTGTTAATTAGAAATTCAGCAAATTTCGCGTACGCGACATTGAAGTCTATTTCGTATTACGTCGTTTAATAGCAGTTTGCTCTAGGCGCTGAGAATGCCTCTAAACACTGCACACGATCCCTCTCAGTCGCGACGTTCAATACACTGCTCTGCAAGGGCAACAAAGACAAGCGAAAGCTCGCCCCTTAAGAACTGAGACAAAGCCGTCACTGCATTACTCAGCAGTGCTGCCAAATTTCCATACTTCTACTATTGCGCCACATATGAGCTGCAAGCTGTTGCTCTAATTGACAGTGACGTCACTTTTCTTGCAAATATTTTCTCAGTGTAGTTCTTCATATATATAGCAGGCGCGAAAGACATCATAATGCACAACAGACAGTTATCACAGAATTACTTTATATCTAAACCTATTATGTTATATCTATTTCAATCGATCAAAAACGCATCGTGTTCCCGGTAAGTCAATCGAGCATTTCAAAAAAAAAAAAAACACCGATAGGAGCGGTCGCACTCAGTGCCTGGTCTTGGTTCGACGTTTATTTTGCGCAGTCCCCATTCCACGTTTTCGCTGCTTCTTCTAATCTCTTAAATGTTAGCAAAACATTAGTCGTGTATAGGAAAAGGGGAGCTTGCCAGGAAATTTTGGCCGTCACGTCACAGCAGCGCACCACCGATTCATGGCTGTGCAGTTATTCCAGCTTTTTGAAAAAAACAAGGGACAAAACAGAGAAACGCTCGTATGAGGACCAAATGTGTTCGAGTGCATCTGGCAAGCTTCCCAGCATTTCATTGCATGAGCGCCACGTCCTGGGAATTGAAGCAGTGAGGGACTAACGCGACTCAAGATTATCGTCTAAGTTAGAGAGCACCGATACTGCGAATTGTGCCGAACGAGTGCAGTCTACGCACACGAGTCGCATGTGAACGAGGACGGAGCATTTTTGTCTAACGTGGTTCTCGAGTTAAGCTTGATTAATTGCACTTCGTAGCCGTTAACCGAAATGCGCGCTACGCTGTTCCACATTCTATGCTTCAGTTCAGCAGCAAGTGTTGCTACCAGGGCCTGCAGCAAAGCTCACAGACACTTAACAAACAGCGCGGGCCCATAGGGCAAGAAAGACTCGTACTCCCGCGCTGTTTTGCGATGAATCCATGTCAACAAGGGAAAGTGTACATCCTTTTGAAGCACACAGGTTCCACTTCCCACTTTCTGCAGTATGCGCAGATAGCAATGGAATTATACTAGTCGGTTAACGTCCATTATGCCTTCTTTGGCTTAAAGCGCCCTGAAGGCGCACTAACCGAAAGCTCACAGTTTATCTTATGAGATAGGCGACAATAATAATAGAATATCAGGAGGTGTTACAGCCTGTCTTGTCACCTAGGTAAACAGGCGTCCAGTGATGAATATATGATGAGCACAATGGCAACAAATGCCCACAAATTCACACACATCGAAGGTGGAAGCCATCTTACCGGATACCTTATTTTACGAAAACGGTGCACCTTTTTTTGTTTTTGCTACTCATAATCCGCAAAGACGATGTTGACGCGCAGCTAGCATGCTGACCTGATGTTTTCTGTGCCTCACTACGTGACCATGAAACACAAAGGTCTATGGGTCTCAGCTATGAAATGATCTTTAGGACATTGTAATTCTTATATCTTTCCGCATGACTCTCGGCCATCTGAAATTACTCAAATAGGCGAATGCAGAACGAGGGGTGCTGATAAAGGTAAAAGTGGAGCTCTGTGCAAGTATATGCGACGATTTGAACCACTCTTCCCGTCAGCACGTTGGTTTGTCGAGCTTGCAATGCTTGAAAGGGCTTTATTTCAACGGCGACCGTAGCGTCGGTCACGCGATCAGGTTAGTCGCGTTGCCATTGCTCGCAAATGGTTTCCTTTGGCAAAAAAAACGACTGCTGTTGCTGAGTCACTCGCTGCTCGAATTTTCCATCATGCACAAGTAAAAGCTCTCAAAACAATCAAATGCGCAGGAACCACACTTCAGCTTATCCCGCAGGGCAAAAGCAACACAAGCATACGTAAACTGTGTGCCAATACGCACGTGAACCATGAAGTTTCTTATAAATACACAATATGGAACTCTGGTGCTAGTGGCTATGGGAGCTGCAACGAATGGCGCCTCAGCGAGCGTGTGAATAATGGGTAGTACACGGATGTGTCTAAACTTCGTACTTCTGGCTCCGCTTGGCTCTGTGTGGCCTGGAGCTGCTTTGTCGCAAGGCGATGTTCCACTAACGTACAGCAGTTACAATTCACCACCATTACCTTTTTAGCTTCACCTATTCAAATTGGTTGACACAGTTTACAACGTTTTTTTTATTTGAAATCAATCTGAAAGACAGGAATAAACAAAGCAACAAGTACATTGGAAGCCCGCAAGCACGAAGACTTGGCGAATGCATGTACTACCCATGATTCCTATGGTGGCTAAAGGGTCGTGCCTGAGCTCCCTGTAGTAAATATTCTAGAAAACTCCATGGCTGTGAACATCTGCTGCATTGAGTCGCGCTTTGGTCGCCAGGTGCAAATGGTCGCACGGGCAGTGCTAGTCACTCATGTAAACGAGCCTAAGGTTAGCGCCTCTACTTATAATGCTCCCGAATCAAATCATCACAGCGTTTTCTGAACGCACGAACGTCGTACGCTGAAAATACTTCGATTGCGGGGCCCACGCTCATGTTGCAGCGTTTATCTATATATCAAAACTAAATTCAATTGATCATGCAACTCGCATGAGCTCGGGCAGGTACCGTCATTAAAGTATACTTCCGAATCTTTTCTATTCAATAAATGCGCCCAATCACGCGCACTGCCACACAGAAAAGCTAAACAATGACATCTGTTCACAATTGACGCGTTCACCTACAGTTACCTGCCCTGGGGGTCGAGTGCTTGCTTGACTATTGACACAAACGTCACGGCAGTGAATTGCAGTCACGGCCACCGCGCTTGCGTGGAGGCTAAACATGTGGGCTCACAATTTGGTACACGCTGAAGAAACTCTCAGGCTTTGAAGTTCAGGGGCCTTTCATAAGTCCTCTCTCATGAGCACATCGTGATCTCCGAACTTAAAACCACACAATTTATTTAATAGCCTAAAGAAAGCTCAGAAGGTACTAACCATTGATTTTAACAGTGTCGTCATGGCCGCCGTCTTTATTAGAACGAGGGCTAGCAAAGAGACAAGAGTGGAATGTTACCATACGCGTGCACACGTGTGCAGGCACTATTGCTCGTTCTTTTTATTGCTACACTTTTTGTTCTCTCAAGCTTTACGCATCGAGGTGCCGTACCACGGACAATTATCACTTCATAAAAGTGCAAATTTGCCCTTTTTGCACGAGATATGCGTGAATCCCATAAGTTCTCTCGGCGCAGTGTGACGGGATTGTTTCACGAAATGTGCAATGCACGCTCGCAGCAAAAAGAACTCAAGTCAAGCCGGCAACCGGTTCCTGTCAATATACCTCACAGCCTCACATGAACTGAGTGTCATATGTTTGCCATTGACATTTGATACTTCGCCAGTTACACAGTTACCCGTTTGTTTTAAGCCAGCAGATAACTTTCTATCGCTGTTTCGATATTGACAGCAAGTACAAATCATTATCACCATGGCACCGTGCGATAAAATGCGCGCTGTGGGATCTCTTCCAGCTATCACATCTTTGTAATGAATTGTGTTAAGAAATGGTTCCAGGTCCCGCTTGTGGCGCACACGCTTGAGTGTATGCAGCCGATAGTGGCAGCAAACGAAAACTAAGCGAGTGTAAACAGCCGGGACATCTCGGGCATGCATGCGACGTGCCGTATCTCGCCAAAGAAAGCAGCACCCCCGAAGCGCGTTCTCGAAACGCGGTGACACACATCGCGACCCTCGAGGAAAAAATGAGCGTCGGTCTCCTCAGCCGGGCTATCGACCTGTGTCCGAACTTTGCAGCCCCGTCCTGTCATGATAGGCCCGGGCAGTAATTAACACTCTCGCCATTCGTTCATGGCAC